TGTTTCGATGTTTCCATCGTTTCAATTGTTTATTTGTAAAGCTTTTATATGTCCCCTCCGTTCCTATAATTGCTGTCGCTTCGATGTCCCTGGTTTCTGTCAATAACTGTCGTTGTAATGTCTCCACGATTTCTATTGTTGTTTTGAGTTAGCCTCTGTTCTGTTTGTTGTCAATGGTTTGGTATATCATCGGATTCTGTTGTTTAATGTTTTGCTATACCGTTGATTCCTGCCGTTGCCTGTTGTTTTGGTATGTCTTCAGGTTCTGTTTAATGTTTTGCTATACCGTTGGTTCCTGCCGTTGCCTGTTGTTTTGATGTACCCTCTGTTTCTGTTGTTTAATGTTTTGCTATACTGTTGGTTCCTGCCGTTGCCTGTTGTTTTGGTATGTCTTCAGGTTCTGTTTAATGTTTTGCTATACTATTTGTTCCTGCCGTTGCCTGTTGTTTTGATGTACCCTCTGTTTCTGTTGTTTAATGTTTTGCTATACTGTTGGTTCCTGCCGTTGCCTATTGTTTTGATGTACCCTCAGATTCTGTTGTTTAATGTTTTGCTATACTATTGGTTCCTGTCGTTGCCTGTTGTTTTGATGTACCCTCTGTTTCTGTTGTTTAATGTTTTGCTATACCGTTGGTTCCTGTCGTTGCCTGTTGTTTTGATATATCCTCAGTTTCTGTTGTTAAATGTTTTGCTATAACCTTGGTTCCTGTCGTTGCCTGTTGTTTTGATATATCCTCAGTTTCTGTTGAATAATGTTTTGCTATACCGTTGGTTCCTGTCGTTGCCTGTTGTTTTGATATATCCTCAATTTCTGTTGTTTAATGTTTTGCTATACCGTTGGTTCCTGCCGTTGCCTGTTGTTTTGGTATGTCTTCATGTTCTGTTTAAGGTTTTGTTATACTGTTGGTTCCTGTCGTTACCTGTTGTTTTGGTATGTTTTCAGGTTCTGTCTAATGTTTTGCTTTACTGTTGGTTCCTGCCGTTGCCTGTTGTTTTGGTATGTCTTCAGGTTCTATTTAATGTTTTGCTATACTGTTGGTTCCTGTCGTTGCCTGTTGTTTTGATATATCCTCTATTTCTGTTGTTTAATGTTTTGCTATACCGTTGATTCCTGCCGTTGCCTGTTGTTTTGGTATGTTTTCAGGTTCTGTTTAATGTTTTGCTATACTGTTGGTTCCTGTCGTTGCCTGTTGTTTTGATATATCCTCAATTTCTGTTGTTTAATGTTTTGATATACCGTTGGTTCCTGCCGTTGCTTGTTGTTTTGGTATGTCTTCAGGTTCTGTTTAATGTTTTGCTATACTGTTGGTTCGTGTCGTTACCTGTTGTTTTGGTATGTTTTCAGGTTCTGTCTAATGTTTTGCTATACTGTTGGTACCTGTCGTTGCCTGTTGTTTTGATATATCCTCTATTTCTGTTGTTTAATGTTTTGCTATACTGTTGGTTCCTGTCGTTGCCTGTTGTTTTGATGTTTCCTGTGTTCTGCTTGTTGTCCATCGTTCTGATATATATTCCATACACATGTATGGTTGCTGTCTTTATATTGTCTTTGAGTTCTGACTTAACTATAAAGTACAAAATTATAATAATTGTTATTTTTACTAGTGAAGTACTATTTGTGAATTATAACATAATTGTATTTCTCCCACAACCACTGTAGGTTTCCTCATTCCCACAACCACTGTAAGTTTCCTTACTCCCACAACCACTGTAGGTTTCCTTACTCCCACAACCACTGTAGGTTTCCTCACTCCCACAACAACTGTAGGTTTCCTCACTCGTTACTCATTCGATAAACCTGCTAGGAGTTGGTAAACATTTTTGGTTAACCACTAGTGGGTAGCACCCTGGACGGGGTTTTATTGGTCAATCTTTGATTTATGACGTCACATTACAATGTTTTTCGACGTCATTTTCCATTTCGACGTAATGCTCCATTGCAATTGTTTTCCCCATCGGAAACACACAGGATATATTTTCCAAGGGATAAATGTGGTTTTTCAGATAAAAAAAACGAACGTTATGGGAGAAACAGGTCCCAAAACTCGTGATGATAAGTTATCACGTTTGTCTAACTCTCGTTAGTTAATTTTTGAATTGTAAAAGACACTCGGTAAACTTCGTGTGTTAATACAATTTGAAGATAAACTATCTCGAGTTAGATAAACATGATCACCAACCATCACTCGTTGGGGAACCTCTATGTAACATACTGGAAGTATAAATATTTATCGCATTGAAACATTGCCAGATAATGCGATGAGAACTATAAGGAAATATAGTAGTTTCTAAAGGTAGAAAAATAAAAAATATGGGTACATTCCTGTAGTAACTCTGATTGGTAGTCTCTAGAAAAGTAAGGTGATATGAAAAGATGGATAGACTTTTAGTAGCTTATTTATAGGTCCTTGATACAAAGATAACTTATCCATGAGTAAGTGACGAGAACCACGAGAGAGGTTGGCGGATTGAGATGCCTACAGTATAGGAAGTAAAGGTATGTACGATTGTTATCAATACACTAGTACAGCAAAAACGAGTCGGGGGATTTATAAAAAAAAAAATCGTTAAGTATGTTACCAATTAAGCTTGAAAGAAAGCTACACCAGTACTTATTCAAATGCTCACAAATAGCCTCATGTGTTTTCACAATTTAGTTGAATACTCGTGCACCTGTGACTGTGGTAACGTTTTGTTGGCAAGCTATCGTATGTGTATTAGATTGCTGTAATTAGGCGTGGTGTATATATAATTAGACAACACATTGTGTTAGCCTTGCTACACCATTAATGCTGTATCGTACATTAACAAGGTCGAAAACCTCACCGAAGCATTTCATTTATAAACCGGTTCAAAATTAGATGCAAAGGGTGCCGAAATTGGAGGAGCCTAAACATTAAAACATTAAAGGTAAAAACAGCAAAGAATGCTGTATGAGAAGCATCTAATGAATAGCTATTTCAAATTTACAAGTTGTAATTTCGTACATTTTTGTTACCAGTAATAGTCCATCTTGTATACAGTTTTACAAAATAAGTATCTACATCATGAATGTATGTTTGCTGTTGCTGTGATATATTTTGTATGTGTATTGTTGCTGTGATATAATTTGTATGTGTGTTGTTGCTGTGATATATTTTGTATGCGTGTTGTTGCTGTGGTATATTTTGTATGTGTGTTGTTGATGTGATGTATTTTGTATGGGTGTTGTTGCTGTGATATATTTTTTATGTGTGCTGTTGCTGTGATATATTTTGTATGCGTGTGGTTGCTGTGATATATTTTGTATGTGAGCTGTGCAGTTGCTGTGATATATTTTGTATGCGTTTTGTTGCTATGTTATATTTTGTATGTGTGCTGTTCAGCTGCTGTGATATATTTTGTATGTGGGTTGTTGCTGTGATATATTTTGTGTGTGTGTTGTTGCTGTGATATATTCTGTATGTGTGTTGTTGCTGTGATTTATTTTGTATGTGTATTGTTGCTGTGATATAATTTGTATGCGTGTTGTTGCTGTGATATTTTTTGTATGTGTGGTGTTCAGTTGCGGTGATATATTTTGTATGTGTGGTGTTCAGTTGCGGTGATATATTTTGTATGTGTGGTGTTCAGTTGCTGTGATATATTTGTATGTGTGTTGTTGCTGTGACATATTTTGTATGTGTGGTGTTCAGTTGCTGTGATATATTTTTTATGTGTATTGTTGCTGTGATATAATTTGTATGTGTGTTGTTGCTGTGATATATTCTGTATGTGTGTTGTTGCTGTGATTTATTTTGTATGTGTATTGTTGCTGTGATATAATTTGTATGCGTGTTGTTGCTGTGATGTATTTTGTATGCGTGTTGTTGCTGTAATATATTTTGTATGCGTGTTGTTGCTGGGATATATTTTGTATGCGTGTTGTTGTTTTGATATCTTTTGTATGTGTGCTGTTCAGTTGCTGAGATATATTTTGTTTGTGTGGTGTTCAGTTGCTGTGATATATTTGTATGTGTGTTGTTGCTGTGATTTATTTTGTATGTGTGTTGTTGCTGTGACATATTTTGTATGTGTGGTGTTCAGTTGCGGTGATATATTTTGTATGTGTGGTGTTCAGTTGCGGTGATATATTTTGTATGTGTGGTGTTCAGTTGCGGTGATATATTTTGTATGTGTGGTGTTCAGTTGCGGTGATATATTTTGTATGTGTGGTGTTCAGTTGCTGTGATATATTTTGTATATGTGCTGTTGCTGTGATATGTTTTGTATGTGTGCTGTTGCTGTGATATGTTTTGTATGTGTGTTGTTGCTGTTATATATTTTGTATGCGTGTTGTTGCTGTGAGATATTTTGTATGTGTGCTGTTCAGCTGCTGTGATATATTTTGTATGTGGGTTGTTGCTGTGATATATTTTGTCTGTGTGTTGTTGCTGTGATATATTGTGTCCTTGTGGGACAATGACGTGGATATTTTTCTGTATAATTTGTGGGAAATGTTTTCAATCCTCAAATAAAGTAGAGAGATACACTGCTGCGTCAACACACAATCGCGAAAACAGCAAGATCCTGCCCATGTTGGACAACAACGAATCGTCTTATACGTATTTCACATATCTATATGATGTTAGATACGTGTTGTTGCTGTGATATATTTGTATGTGTGTTGTTGCTGTGATATATTTTGTGTGTGTGTTGTTGCTGTGATATATTGTGTCCTTGTGTGACAAAGCTGTGATATATTGTGTCCTTGTGTGACAATGACGTGGATATTTTTCTGTATAATTTGTGGGAAATGTTTTCAATCCTCAAATAAAGTAGAGAGATACACTGCTGCGTCAACACACAATCGCGAAATCAGCAAGATCCTGCCCATGTTGGACAACAACGAATCGTCTTATACGTATTTCACATATCTATATGATGTTAGATACTGAAATCTCATATTTTAATGACGACGCCCGCAGTATTACACCAAGGTGACCTGCTATAACCCCTACTATCTATTAGATATATTTTACCTGAAATCATCAGCCGTCATTCTGGTCTCACATCCTTTCTAACGAGTCCTCAGAATAGTTGCCATTCACCCCAGCTAATGTCCACACAGGTAAGCGTCCTTCTGTCTATAGTCCGGACATATCCAGCTAGGTAGCTCCACTGAACACTAGTACAGTTACCGGCACATACTTCCTAGCTAGCACACGTACATCACACGTCCTGGCTATAGGAATCCACAGACGATATGTACCAGCTCCTGATGTAGTAAGTTCAGAAACTTCACAGAGTTATGTTTAGTGGCAAGGTTTCCTGATAGTGTGTGGTGGTAGGCTTACCCCCTTCTTCCCCCTCGCGTGCAAAACAAATGCCTGCATACTAAGAACTATTTTACTTATGAGATTCCACTTTTAATATCCTGCGATAAAGATTATGCCGGGCTGTTTTAAGGGATAAAGAGATGCATACATACTGTTTTGCTATTTTTAGCTTCAATTGTAGTGTAAGATAGGATTTCGGTCGGTAGTAATGCTGTTAGGTACCGCTAGCGTTGAAGAGCATTCATGGAGATATCATCTTTAGTAAGTGAAATGATTTAACTCCACAACCAGGCGCTGCGTAAGTCTGTCCTTATAGCCCGGATGACACCATGTCCTCACACAGGACGTAGGTATGTCATGAACTATCTTTCTATTGACGCCCATACATGCATGTAGAATCCCATATATTTTAACGCAGGCGAAATAAATACAGCATTTTTAGCAGAACCATTTTTTCTATTTCTAACTTTGGGGCTCCGAAAAACGTTTGATTTGCAGTAAATATAATCTGTCGGGTAAATTGTGACATTTCCATGGTGTTTTCGAGGCAACGGTGGACGTTATCTATGCCCATTCCAATTGTACGAAACCACGTATCCTATTTCTGCTGTTTTAGAATGCATTTGTTCCGGAAATTTGGTCAGAATTTATATACTTTATATATGTGTGTGTAATACAAGTAAAACGTCTAGCTGCTTACAATTCAATTCAATTTGAAAAGACATCGGCAGTCTTAATTCCTCGGATGGAGCGATGAGCATGCTTATGTGTCAAACAGTTGGACGAGCAATTGGTGTAACCAGGTGTTTTGTTGAATTTCTTTGCTCTTTGGAATTTGTTTTCATTATTTATAAATAAATAAATATGTTTCACACATAAACTAATGAAGGGGACCTACCTTTAACTCGTTAGGGTTACTTTTTTCCATGAATGAAATCATGTAAACAAATTCCAAGAATAAGAGTAAGAACAGTTTAAGATGAACATGGACAATACGTCACATGTTAACTTACAGCAATTCAAAATGGTGTTTGAAGCATTTCATAGGTCAAAGAGGTACAATCTTGTAGTTTCATTCTATCATATATGATGTATATGCTAGATACCCACTTAGGCACATGTTAGTATATGTTAGTACGTATGCTTTATTATGCCGTAAAACAATTGGAACCCGCATTTACTGAATATGTAAATGTTTCTATGAATATGCATTCTTCTTTCTAAAGGAAATTTCACTTCGACAAATTCTGCTCATAAGTTTTAAACATATTCGTATTAACAGATTTGAAATAATCAGTGACCTAGTCAAGAAAGCTTGCAACCTTTTAAATAGGTACTACCTAGCAAGCCTCTTTGAAGTGGTTTTGTTTTGAACCAACACTGTATGGTGTCTGATTGAGAGAGTCAATTCGTCTACATTTGCAACGCGTCTTATGGCACATTGCCGAGCCGAACTGCTTACTAATGGGGTGCTGACAATTATCGTCCCAGGTCGGGTCAACCTCAATGAAATAGACAGCACTCATTATGTCAGATACATATATATCAAACGGACAAGACCAAAGTGCTCTCTTGGATAGTTTATAGAAAACGGCATCATCACACTAATGGTATACAGAAAGACATACAAACTTAATTACTATTGTTATATCAGACTAGTTGCTGACCACTCCCAACAACAAACAATATGGAATAGCCATAAACAGGTAAGCATACATATGTACAACGATATCACACAAGTAACTAGACTGGCTACCAGCCCCTAACTTTTTGTAAAGAATTTCCCAGATAATTTTACTTCTTCCTTATCTGCCCATAGTTTGAGTTTTCAAAAATCCATTTGATCAAAATTGTTGAGTTGATTTTTTCTAAATAATTCGATAGCCGAATATTAGTTAAGGAGAGAAATGCAATGACATCAAAAAATAATTTGTTTGAAGCATTTATCTCAGTGACTGGCAGCAGTGGGTTAGGCTCAGTCAAGTGGTCAGTGGTTCATGAAGGGGTTCCCCAGGGCCAGACTCGGTCAAGTGGTCAGTGGTTCAGGAAGGGGGTTCCCCAGGGTCAAGCTCGGCCAAGTGATCAGTGGTTCAGGAATTGAGTTCCACAGGGTCAGGCTCGGCCGAGTGGTCAGTTGTTCAGGAAGGGAGTTCCCCATGGTCAGGCTCGGCCGAGTGGTCAGTGGTTCAGGAAGGGAATTTCCCAGGGTCAGGCTCGGTCGAGTGGTCAGTGGTTCAGGAAGGGAGTTCCCAAGGGTCAGGCTCTGCCAAATGGTCAATGGGTCAGGAAGGGAGATCCCCAAGGTTCTATTGGGAAAACTTGTTATTGTTTACATCTGTAAGAGACGTTTTTACTGATTTAAAATCAGGCTTTCAACACAACAATAAAGATGACAATGCATTGTTTATTAATGTTTATAGTGCTTAATTTCTTAGTGTTGATCTGCAAAATAAGAGTACATTGTTGGTCATCTGGGATCTAATAAAATGTCTTACAATAGGGAACCAACATATCACAAAAGGAAACACTGTTGATATTGACAGCGATTTTGAGATGTCCATGTTGCCATTTTATGTAGGCTATCAAACAACTCAGTGTACTTAAAAAAATGTATATCCTGTATTACACAAATTTTAAAGTTGTATCCCCCTGCTTGGAAATTTTGTAACTTCAGTTATACAAAGAAAAGATTAAGGAAAGAGCTTTTCGTTCTATAGAGAATGATGTTATGTCCCCAGTCAAGGACCTGTTATCCAGAATTGATTGAGATGTTTACATGTAAGCAGGCCCATGTAAATTGCTTAAGAATTATACAAAAGCTTAATCAATTTATAAAAAAAATATCTTAAACAAATACCACGTTTAAACCAATTAAGGAAAAGGTAACACTGTGGAGGTGCCAAGGATACTACCAAGTGTGGTCAGAAATCCTTTCGCGATGACGCTGCGAAGGTGTGGAACAGCAGACAAACAGAAAACTACGGTCTCGGTGGGCTGTTGCTCACTTTAAATGGTAAAATGTGCACGTGTTGTACTTGATAACATGAGAACGATAGATCATACAATGTTCAAAATGTCCTAGCTGATGTGAAGAGGGCTACTGATTTTGGGCATGGTCCACCAGAGGTCAAGGTCATCAAAATGTTTGGAAAATAAAATTTTCTGCATTGAAAAGGTTATCATGTTAAGTGTCTTCAATCACATTATCATTTAAAACAAAAATATACACATCATTTACATATTTCCCTTAAAAAACGAAGAAAAATGAACAGTACCGTTCTGTGTTGCTTCTTTTGATGCACGATACATTCTAAACGAACTACTTTTACAAAAGTGTGGAGCATTTTTGTCGAAACAATGTCAGGTTTTCTGTAGTTACCAGTTTCATCAGGCAGCAAACTTCAATAAATAAAATCTCCGTAGTAATTTGAAATTGACATTACGGCATGACTCTAACAGTTTGAGACAAACCCCAACAGATTGGAAAACATTCACGTGTAATCGTTCTTGTTGTTTGTAACAAAGTTTTGGTTGGTGATTGTTTAGAGCTGTACAACGGACTCCAAATGTATCGTCGACAGTTTTTAACACTACACCCGTGTTACATTTTGGAGAGTCTTATTTAGGGGAATATGTCAAAATCACTTTTGACACATCGCTGTGTTCAAATGTTATTCTAAAGATTTTTTCTTGTGGAATATTTAAAGTGTCGCCCCGTTTTCTCCATGCTTAATTCAGTTGATCACATCTAGCCAGCCAATTACCTCGAATTTAGATTAAAATAAAAATCACCATGGGCTAAACTGCATAACACGGAATACTGGTTACTGTATAAACTACATGGCAAGCAAGCCATGGTAATCTTTCATTTCAATGCATACAAAAGTATCTTATTCTCATTAAAACAGGTAATTCATTCCATGATGGAGGAACATTTCTGTCTGGCAAAGTGTCATTCTGGCAGCAAACAATGCTAACAGGCTATTTTTGAATGTCTGCAGAAGCGATACCTGAAGTGAAACGAACTCTTTAAGTAATACGACAGATAGCGTGAGAGTGGGAGAGTCATTGAGAAAGAATTGTATAGACAAAACAGAAGATATTGAAATCAGATCGCTAGAATTACATGTTCATGTTATGTAAAACAAGAGGCCCAATGGGCCTGCATCGCTCACCTGGTATTAATCTCACACTTGTAATCTTAAAAGTGGACTAAAATACAGCTACAGGCAAAAATATCAGTGTTTCATTCATAAGAACCTATTGAAAGATTTAAACCTATGACACCTGTGACCTTGAATGTGGAACAAGGACATTATAATATTAGGTTGAACAGAGTTTATAGTCTTCCAACCCAACATGCTTCTGGAAAAATATCATTAACCTGGACCTTTTGGTTATACAGAACAAATCATTTAAAGATTTAAACATATATTGACCACTGTGACATTGAATATGGGCGAAGGTCATTCACTTGGTAGTCCTTCATCCCAGCATGTTAATGGCCAAATATCATCACCCTTGGCCTTTTGCTTATTAAGAAGAAGTCATTCAATGGTTTTAAACATATTTGACCCCTGTGACCTTAAAATATAGATGTCAGGGTCATTCATTTGAACTTGGTAGTCCTTCATCACAGCATGTTACTGGCATTATCCTAGGACTCTTGGTTATTCAGAAGAAGCTGTCTAAAGGTTTAGAACATATTTGACCCTGTGACCTTGAAAAAAGATGAAGGTCATTCATTTGAACAAACTTGGAAGCCCTTCATCCCAGCATGTTACTGGCCAAATATTATCACCCTATAGGCCTCTTGGTTTTTCAGAAGAAGTTGTTTGAATGTTTTTAACATATTTGACCCCTGTGACCTTGAATATAAGGCAAGGTCATTTATTTGAACAAACTTGGAAGCCCTTCATCCAAGGATGTTACTGGCCAAATATCATCATTCGAGGCCTCTTGGTTATTCAGAAGAAGTTGTTTAAAGATTTTAACATTTTTGACCCCTGTGACCTTGAAAATTGATGAAGGTCATTTATTTGAACATACTTGGTAGCCCTTCATCCAAGCATGCTTCTGGCCAAATATCATCACCCTAGGCCAGTTGTAAATTGTATATATCTTCGTAGTCATTAAATTGAAGGGGGAGGGGGGTGGCAGCGACTTCCAGACCCAATTTTTTTATTCTAATGATTATGACACCCATGTGAATTAAAAAGGTCCAAGTAATTCACGTTCTCAATAACTACCATCAGCTGAATACAACTGCACAACTAACTACTTTTTGGTAAAGTAAGTACAACTGTACAGCTTGACACACGGATGGATATTAGTACATGTAGCCGTCAGGTATTTATACTAACTCAGGACCTGTAGCCTCTTGTACGCCTGTAACCTATGACAAATTCAACTTTGTTCCATGTTCCATAATTCATTATCTTTCGAGCATGTTTACATAGTTCACGTAAGAAGCAAGAAATTTAAGGATTAGACTAACACAGGATTGCTTGTTGTAAAATTTATTTGATAAATTCAATATTTTACAAATAATGAAAACGTACAAGTATGGCATAAACAAATGACAAAAATAATGAAACTTTTTACACAATAAAACATTACTCTATTGTAACTACAAATAAGAAGTGCACATTTAATGTAACTCACATTGTTAAGATGGGAAATAAATATTTAAGGTGACTAAATGTCCCTACATACTGGGAAGTCTGAGGACAGGGGTCTTACCAGAGATGTGGAGGATTCCTTAGGGTGGAGCAGAAGGTAGCCGGTCATGGGAGGAATTAACTTGATGAAACAGTAAACAATCAATATCACTTATAACTTTTAACAACCTATAATGGGGAGAATCAACCATTTAATGTTATTGATGTCCAACAACAATACCCCTCTCTAAACACCAATACAATAGTATAATCCGAGAGCAACACTCCCGATCTGAAGCTTCTAAATTGGCTCACCTCAACTCTCACACTTTACAGTATTGTAAGTTATACTAACAAATCACCTCCCTGACGGTTCTTCTGAATATCTAACAATATAATGTTGTCTGCATCATATGTAGTGAATTGTAAGATTTTTTCAGACCAGTCCTAAACATTATTTTCAAAGGGTTGATGAGTCCAAACCCTACATAGGCCACAACTACAGGTAAAGGTGACACCTACAGGTAAAGGGCAACACCTACAGGTAAAGGGCCACACCTACAGGTAAAGGATCACACCTACAGGTAAAGGACCACACCTACAGGTAAAGGACTACACCTACAGTTAAAGTGCGACACCTACAGGTAAAGGGCCACACCTACAGGTAAAGGACCACACCTACAGTTAAAGTGTGACACATACAGGTAAAGGGCCACACCTACAGGTAAAGGCCTCACCTACAGGTAAAGGACCAAACCTACAGTTAAAGTGTGACACCTACAGGTAAAGGGCCACAAATACAGGTAAAGGACCACACCTACAGTTAAAGGACCACACCTACAGGTAAAGGACCACACCTACAGATACAGTGTGACACCTACAGGTAAAGGGCCACACCTACAGTTAAAGTGTGACACCTACATAAACAGTGTGACACCTACATTTAAAGTGTGACACCTACAGGTAAATGGTGACACCTACAGGTAAAGGGCAACACCTACAGGTAAAGGGCCACAAATACAGGTAAATGGCGACACCTACAGGTAAAGGGCAACACCTACAGGTAAAGGGCCACAAATACAGGTAAAGGGCAACACCTACAGGTAAAGGGCAACACCTACAGGTAAATTTTGAATTCCATGCTGAATTACATTTATACTAATTATAAGAAGTGCATGTTTATACTAAAAAGTGTTAAAAGTAATTCTATTTCTCACTATGAAGGTTGGTTGCGAGACCTGGACAACACACAGGTATATCACCATAATACAATTGACTGTACATGTAAAACAATACAACAACTTCGGCCACCATCAACGGCTGCTCCACTCAATATACTGGCTGGATCCTCTGTGTATCGAAAGTTACAGCACAACCCATGGATGTGTATTGATATCGATATTAAGAACATTCCTTTTATTATAAGTTACCGCAATGATTTCTTACCTTGCTATATTTCAATAGAAGCCTTGTTTAAAAAGTTAAAATACAAACTGATTTCTATATGATTATGGCATATAAACATATTTTAATTCCCTACAACTTCATTTTTAGAATAATGTAATCATGAAATGATTCACTTTTCTTTCCAAAATGGCACAACTCAACATGGATAACAAATTAACAGATTGCATATATAGGATCAGCTGTGTGTATGGGAGCTATGGAGAACTTTGGCACACTAAGTACTGATTAACTTCTGCTGTGTAATAAACACTTCACACAAACATCCCAAAAATGTCATGAAATTCTGCTGAAAACTTTAAACATAAAATAGGTTTTCTTCTGATGGAATAAACATGTACAAAATCTAAATATTCCAATAAAGACGATGTACTCTTACCCGTACACTATTAATGCCAGATTGTAACAGAAGATTACAAATTCATATCACTTGTGTAAACAATGGTCTTTTCGATCAATTTCAAATTATTATTGATCAGAGGCTGGTTACCCAAAGCCTTACGGGTGATGTCTATGTGTCCCGAGTATTATTAGCCTGTCATATGCCACTAGCAATATCTGCTAATTATGTATAAACAATCAATACTACTTGATCTAACAGGTCTTCCAGATGTTAAATATGTTAAGTTTACATCTTCGTATATGCTACCTTGAAAATGGAATTTCTCAGAGTGGAAAGTTTCTTGGAAGTAGATATGAAATGAGTTCATCTGTAAGGTAATACATTTTATAAGACTATAACTGTGTGGGTCACCTCAGTGAGGTTCCTACAGTTCATCTGTAAGGTAATACATTTTATAAGACTATATAACAGTGTGGGTCACCTCAGTGAGGTTCCTACAGTTTATACCTGGTTAGAACGGTCAACACTAGGGATCACACTAGAAATAGACAAATATTGCACTTTGTAGTCAGTGGCGACCTCTAACTCATTGCATCAGTGGGCCGTTCCTGTGACAGTATTTCACAATATATATGTAGGTTATATAAAATAAAAGTTTCTAATTACAAAATGTACAAATTTATATAAATTTACCATTATATTAATAACAGCTTTTGTTACTTGTAATTTACACGTTGTATTTGATTAGGTGTTAAGTTAAGCATGCTGACTTCAGATGAAGTGTGAATTTGATTGAAATAATTTCTCTTTGCTGATATGAAAGCAATAATGGGAAAATCATAATTAGATGTGGGATTATATCTCCTGTCAAATATTAATATTTTTAAACAATTTAATGTAACAGTTTCCTATATACCCAGGTATATGTCAAATAAGTCCAATGCAAAATTGGACAGGTGACAATTTCAATTTCAGTTAATTAGTGTATGTTTAAAACGTCAACACTTATATATATATATGTACACTGTAACAATGACTCTACAAAACTAATCATGTCTGAGTATTATAGCTGTACAAGTATCCACAAGGCTATCAGCCGGACTCTCACAGACACAGCAGACAGATACCAGACCAAATCTTATATATATTTTGAAAAATTCAATTCATATAATCTCTATGTTCGATTATGAATGCTCTTTTAAATCAAATTATAAGTGATTTCCATTAATATTATTCATTTTTTCTAGTTTTTCAATTTTGCTGCACTTGATTTTGATTGCTATTTTGTAAACATAAAAAGATTTAATTCTAATTATTGTGTGCACATGAAAATATGCATTTCCACTGCAAAACGTATCACTGAAACACCTCCTGTGTTTGTAAGTCTTCAATTACCACAGATATCTCCAACACAGATCTCACACACCACTACAGAACATTTATATACATTCTATATGTACAAGTTATCTCCCTTGCTCCATAAAAATTAGGACAGACATGGAGGGGAGCTAACTGTTAAAATCAAGGAATTTATAGCACTGCATGTCAGACTTCATTCTGATTACAATCAATATTAATTTTTTCCAGTGTTTAAATAAATCTGCTGAAATCTATTTCTAACACACTTTTATACATGTCTAGCATACATTCAATCCAAAACAACTATAAAAACTGGTACAAAAATTAACAAGTTTGATTATCACCCAAATATCTGTAGATTGTGACTGTTACATAAAATAAGAAAAATGATTTGCTGTATCAATGATTTAGGGTTTTGAAAGATATATCTGTACTGATCATCTATATCAGTGACAGTGGAAGGGGATTTAATATATGTTTTATCACAACAAAGTAAAGTTTAGTCGTATAGCTTCATAGTCAAATATCAAATTTAAAATTCAAATACGGTACAAAACAACCAACAAAGAGTTATCTCCCTTAGTATGTGTAACATAACATAAGGAGACTAGTTTAGTGGACAGAACAGATGGATTAGTTAATAGAGACAGACCCATTGGTCCCAAGAACTGTGACCATGTCATTATCAGCCTACATAAATTGTCCAGTTCCACTTATTCCCAACAAAGCTACTGTCAATAGTAGCCAAAAGTGTTCCAATCACATCTCATTCAAAAATGGCACAGTAACACTTGTTATGCACATTTAAAATCCTGGTATTTCATTCTATAGAAACAATGTTGTCTGCTTAGAATTATAACCACTCAATTTAAAAAACTAGACATTTATAACCACAAACATTCACTTTTCATACAGGACTGGCAAGTATCAACTGTTAAATCCACGACTAGGATCAGGAGTAGCCCAGCCTTGCAAGGGCCATCTTCTTTCGTAGTCTTGCAATTTCATAAAATGCTTCTTTATCTGAAAAATGTTAGAAAATATTTTGTCTGAGCTTTTTTCACAACTGACATAAATTCATTACTTTAAAAAAAAGTTCAAATCACAAAAAGGAACCTGTTAACCCTTTGATAACAATTAAATTAAAATTACCCAGTTCATAACAAGCCGTTGTTACATTTCTAATTAAGATAAATTAAATATAAGATGTTAAACCCTGTTCCTCTCCAGACGGAGATATCAATATCAATATCAAAGTGCCCAAATACTCAGTACAGAATTCACACAAAATCATTCTACCAAAGCAATGTTAAAATATTTCATCAGACAAAATGTATTTTGATCTGAACAGTGTAACTGACAATAACATGATATAAACATCTAACAATAAACAGTAAACAACAATGTGTGTTGCAGTGCTTACTCTCGCTTTTGACAAGTCCTTGGTGTATGTATCTGATGTAGGTATAAAAATCACACACAGAAGCAATCTGAAACGACAATAGAAAATACACTAGGTATATTGCAGATATCAATTATCATTAACAAATCTGAAGTGAATTAAAGTTGAACCTTGTAACCTGATACTTTGATTACTGCTGAAAATGTCTAAGTTAACAAATTTTCACATGAGAAATGACAATGCTCACAGGATGCTCCTACAGAAACCAAGGAGTCTGGATAGATACGATTGCATACCAAACTTGTGTTAACTGTGACAACGCTGTCACTGAAGAGTGATTTTTTTATATATAAAGATATAGAACACTCGTGTAACACAGTGTACATACCATTGGTATATGTAGTCATGTATAACTAGTGTTATGCCTTCAATAAAGACTTGTTTGTAAATTGTTCACTAGAGTTTCAATCATAGCAATTGATACAACAAATATGATGTCATGAATTTAACTCATTCACCCCTGAAAACACATTTGAACTCTTCCAATTCAAAGGTTGAAATAGTTCATTATGAAATTTCACGGGTGAATGAGTTAAAAGATGTGAAGAAGATACTGACTCCTGATCTAGATTATACTCACCCTATTTCTACAGAGCTGTGATATGGAGTACCAGGTGACATCCTCGCCCAGTTTGATTTTGTAATTACACAGCCTATTGTTCTCTGTAAGACAACATCTCCTGTAAACAAACAACATTAATATCAGTCTGCCTTCAGTTGCAGTGATTGATGATAACTTGTAGTTACTAAGCAACATCATTCAACATCCAATCACAATCTACTGTAAACCATTTCAAATTTGAAACGAAATCTGTCATTTAAACACTTAACCAGTGGGAGAGAACTATAAAGATTGGCATAACTTCCTCACTAACACTCTCCTGACTAATGTATTTTTTTTATATGACATCAAAATATGTTTCCACTAAAATGACAATTTACAATGAACCTCCACTAAATGTTAATCAACCGTGATGTTTTAGAGTAGACCAAGCCAGGTCTACTATATATCAGTCCGTAGAATAGAGCAAGCCAGGTCTACTGTATATCAGTCTGTAGAGTAGACCAAGCCAGGTCTACGGTATATCAGTCCGTAGAGTAGAGCAAGCCAGCTCTATTGTATATCAGTCCGTAGAGTAGAGCAAGCCAGCTCTATTGTATATCAGTCCGTAGAGTAGAGCAAGCCATGTCTACTGTATATCAGTCCGTAGAGTAGACCAAGCCAGGTCTACTGTATATCAGTCCGTAGAGTAGACCAAGCCAGTGCTACTTTTTATTAGTACGTAGAGTAGAGCAAGCCAGGTCTACTGTATATCAGTCCGTAGAGTAGACCGAGCCATGTCTACTGTATATCAGTCCGTAGTGTAGACCAAGCCAGGTCTACTTTTTATTAGTACGTAGAGTAGAGCAAACCAGGTCTACTGTATATCAGTCTGTAGAGTAGACCAAGCCAGGTCTACTGTATATCAGTCCGTAGAGTAGACCAAGCCAGGTTTACTGTATATCAGTCCGTAGAGTAGACCAAGCCAGGTCTACTTTTTATTAGTACGTAGGTAACTAAGTAAAGTATTAAAAGCAAAACATAGTCAACAAACTTCACACAAACCGAAGTATAAATATAAACGAAGGGCCATAACTCTGTGCATAGTGGGGGGACTTGATTTCTCCACCATCCTAATTGTGAGAGATCCTCATATATAAATTGACAATTATGGGTGTTAGAGTGTGAAATATGCCCTACACAAAATGATACACGTTGGGGGATAAATATAATAATGAAGTGACAAGGTAATTTAAGGTCATTAGTACTGGTCATCTAACGAGTGATGTATAGAACAGCAAGTCCCTTACTACGACAGTCTGTCCTCGAGTCAACAAACCTTACCTTGGGTAGGAACTGTCACCTGGAATGGGTTCTATGGTCAGTGTATTGCTTTCTACACAGTCTTTTACATTTTCGGACAACTACAAACAAAACAGTAAAAGTTTTCAATACAAAAAAAGAAACAAAAAAAAGACATAGCCAATTTCTTTTAAACTTTTCAGCGCTCTTTTACAGAGTCATGATGTTTAATTCTTATTTTTTAGAACAGCAGCTCTGGGTGTTCCAGACATGACAAGTGCAAAGATAGGAGTTATCTTTCACAAGTAATATAATATACTTTTCATCATCCATTTTTCAACCCTGTTATGCTGAAACAATTTAAATTAACCAGGCATCGTTAGGTATCATTATGATAGTAACTTTTTGGACATGTATTACAGTCGGAGGCTAACTAAGCAGGTATCTCCTGCCTTTCTGTCACTGGTGTCTTACCTGTTTATTAGTGAAGTTGAGACAGGGACTGATGTCCTCCATGTACATCCTGGACAGGAAGTCTGTGTCCTTGGACAGGCGTGGACTCTTCCTCCACCTCACAAACTCCTCAAAGAATACAGGGTCAATCTGCTAACATAAGAATACATTTGTCATTGGGGAATCTGTTGTTCTGTTTAATTATGAATGACTTTTGCCACAAAACTATATCAATGTTTCGTTCTTAATTGGAATTATCAGAAACATTATAAACCTATTTAACAGAAAATATGTTCTTCCACAAAACATTTTATCTCGGGATATTCTGTGTGCTTACTAGTAACTGGAAAGTACATATTTTTTCTATGCTAATGAATAGCATTTTTGCACTTAAGTATGTGGAAAATGATTTTATGACTGAACTGTTTAAAATATTTATATCAAATTAAGTATTTATCCATGAGTTGATAAATTGAATTTTCTAAACTGTAAACGTCTTTTAAATTTTGTTTAAAAGAAGATATATGTGATTTCTTTATTTTTTGGTTATTGCTAACCTATGATTTTATCACTTTTATAATCGATCTCATACAGACACAGGAAGATAGATTAAATTGTTTAAAATGTTAATGAAAGGAGGACTCTCTATACAGTAAACAAAATGTTACTAAGCTACTTCAGCCTTTTATATCTCTCATTGCGAATCATCACAAAAGACTGATTTTTCTCAGAAATCATAGGTATGTCCCTGAAAAAAAATATTCCATCTTTAGCCTTGCCGCAATGCTTACATATTGTTAGTCATGGTAATAGTTTGACATTTTATCAGTAAGAAATTAGTTTAAAGCATTTTATATGGCAATTTAATCAACATCAATATTGTTTAGATTTTTGTGATTAAAATTCAGTCAAGAAAATCAAATCTCATATTATATCATAATTGACCCATTAAAATATTTATGGTAACAATTAGGGGGTTATTTTTTTTAATTCAGAGTGATATATTCCATAAAACTAATTTCCAAACAAATCACTTAATATATATACTGAGAATATGTGGGGAGAGTTTGATACTCCTACAGATACCAGACAAAGCGAGTCTAATCTCTATCAAGCCCATATTATATACAACTTGAGCACAGTACAATGAAATATCTAGGTGGGATGACATGTTGAGGAGAAACTAAAAGTAATCCCCGGGGAGGGAGATCATTGACCAACAGCAGTGTTATTACAGGCAGGCTTTTAACACTGTGGTAATGGAGACGGACTAAAAGCCTGAGTAACTCTCTAGGGAGACAAGAGCCTGAAGTCGACCCGTGTATTAATCTGTATTGATGATTTAGTGATATACCAGCATGTATATATAGCATACTTCGTTATTCATTAGTATTTTTCAAAGTCATGCTCTATGATAGTGAAAAATATGAAACTAATCCCTTCTTTGTTTGTCTGTAGCTACATTGTATTATGTATGCCAGTGACTGGTATCGTGTAGTTATATAAAACATGTGCTCCAATGTGTCTTACGTCTTACCAACCAAACACTTATATATCATAGTCTCATATATGTATCTGTCAAACCTTGTGCTAATTTTCTTCTATTGGTGGAAGTTGTTTGGATGAGAAAGAAATTTTACTGTATCGCAATAGGTAAGAATATGTTTAATTTATGAGACAGAACCATCTCAAATTCTCTCTGTACATAATCTTTTTTTCTTAAACTTAGAAAACATGTGAGTGAGATGCTAAAAAAAAAGAAATTCTACTTGACTGAAAATCCAAGTTAGTCCCAACTTACATCACTGCAGCGGTCATTCTTGGCCTCCTGTTGGGCCTGTACTTCCTGTCGGGCTTCACGAGTAAACTCATGGTGACTCGTTGACCGCCGATGTGTTTTCCAGAATGGTTTGCTAGTCTTTTCTTTTTCCTTCTTGTTAGCAGCCTCAGGCTTGAGGGTGTCTATTTGGGGGTGCAGATGCTTGTTTGGGGAGCTAGGTGTAGATGTTAGGACCAGCTGTTTCAGGGCCACAACCTCTGCCTCCAATACCTCAATCTAGTGGTAAAAATATATTATGCAGGATATTTATTTTTTTACCAAAACTGGCAAAGAACATTATTCCATAATTTTCCAATTTTCAGTCTAACAGTAAAGCGTAAAGTGACCAGCTGTTTGGTCTACAAAATGTTCTAGTCCATAAATGAAAAAGTATCTTTAAAAATGTCTAAGGTTAATACTAAAAACAAGGATCAGGTACCAAAAAGACTTAGCCTCGAGTATCAATTTTCATTAAATTTTATCAGAAAATATTTAAACATTGCTAATATTAAATTTGGAGACAGAACTCAAAGGTTACCTACCTTTTCTGTGGCCTCCTTGAGGAGTTTCTCGGAATGCATCCGTTTCATATTGGCTTCTTGAACCATATTATTTGCTTCCTATTTGCACAAAAATAATAATTACTGACAGAGATAACTAAATGAAGTATCTGGTTGGTAAGCATTCTGTCAAATACAATTATCATAGACTATTTTTGTAAATTGTTGATCAACACACAAAGCCTTTACGCTCTGTTGAAACAAAGCTTTTTATTAAAAATTGTTCAGTTAATTAAAACTATGTTTAAAAGGAAACACATTGATTATCTCACAAGTTTCAGAATTTGATAATAAGGATCAATAGATCTTTCTACAGAAAAGATGAAGATAATTCATTTTCATTAACTTTTCTTTTCCAAATTCACCAAAAGTCCAAAAGTGCAATTGATCATTCCTAGTTTCTGAAAAATGTTAAAATTCTGTTTACATGGATGGTTTTTATGTTTTGGTAAAAATGTTACTATTTTTGAAAGTTTTTATTATCCTTCAACTACAAATCAGTTATGACCGTCCAGAAACCAAAATGGAAGAAAGTCACAATTTACAAAAGGGTAACATGCATTTCTTGTTAAATGTTAAATCTTACCTCAAACAGACAGGCAGTGAGTTCTTCTAGCTCCTCACCCATCTGGTCTCTCACCTTCAGCAGCTTTTCACACTCCTCATCCCTCAACTTTAGTTCCTGGATACAAACATATCATACAAGTCACAAATCTTCTTATACTCCTTATATCAAAGTTCAGGGCCCCTATTCATGAAACCGTTCTCATGCTCAAGCAAGGTGTCTGTGCTCAAACCTAATTTGTTGTCCCAGTAATAAATCAATAATAGATTCTGATTTTATTAATGCTTTGGAAAAAATATCAAGAAACTTAAAGCCGAATACTGTTTTTCATGTTTACATTTGGCTTTTTGATTATTTGACAGGATTTAAGTGAGTTACAAGAAAGTTGGTTTGAGGGCAAAATCCGTGCTTGAGCATGAGAACAATTCCATGAATACGGACCCAGTTCTTTCATGCAAACAAATCCTCCAACTAATTATAAACATGTGATTGGACAGACATATAACAGTGCAGCAGAAAGAACAAACACACAAGATAATGTCAAACCCTGATTAGTTGTAATACCTGGACAACTTTTATCACTGACTCATTCATATTAAATATAACTGTGTATAAATGGTATGATTTGTTCTATCTGTATTGTCCTCTGTACTCACATCCTGGGCCTTCTGTAGCTCCTCCTGTAAACGACTGCAGGCGTGTTCTTTCGCGTTGGCCATGGTTTGACTCCGCCTTCTGACAGGCTCATTGGGCAAGATCTCAGACATGGCATGTCGCAGCTCCCCCCGTGCGCGCACGTTAGCCTGCCTCAGCTCGGTCGTGTCACTGTTGATGTAGGTGGTCTCATTGTCAGGCCTGTGGGCAGAGGGACACATATCAATTAAAGCATCATAACGACAACATATATTTGTAGTTGTAAAACCAGGTAGTACCGTAAAGCTGTATGTAGGAACATATAATAGTAGCGTTAAAAAACTTAAGATATTGATCCTGAATTGAAAATATTTACATTTAATGATAGAAATCAAAAGAAGAAAAAAATAATCAAATCTGCATTTGCTCATGTCAATATGCCCTTTCAAAGAATAAAGAACTTGATTTTATGGATGTCGGTGCATTTTTTACTTCTTAATTAATGTGGATTCAAACAACATCAACTGGAAAAAAGGAAATGTCAAACAATGAGGTCATTTCTCATCATTAGTTTAAATATACAGTAATTATGTATCATAATACTAAATCCTACCACGAACCCAAAACTTGGCAAAAAATATCACTCCTTGTCATTGCAAACATCGTTCTGAATAATAAAACACTTAATTGGTTAAGCACGATGAATTTTAAAGTTAAAACATTACCAATAACCATTTTATATGTATTAATTATATCATATAAATGACTTTCAATGTATTTTAAACAAGGTTATCATTACCATGTCTGTATCACAACATGACACCAGAGTTTTGTAGACTGAAGTGCCCATATGTTAGTACACCTACCATGCCCCTAGGTTCTCGCTACATATAGCTGTTATATACATTTATTCTTCTACAACCAATTTGTGCCAAGACATACATTAAAGTAAAATCAAATGTATGTCATTTGAACTTCAATTTTCTTTCAATATCTACAAAGTATTGATATCTATCTCTAGGTTACAGCTCTTTGCTAGCTTAATGTTTGTAAACTGTACCTATATAGGGAGGCCTTCAGTGCTGTATGGTAATGTACCTGCTTAAATATGTATAGAGAGACAAGTAATAGCCCTATCACTGATGTCCTGGTACACACTCGTCCGCATTCTCCCCTCGGTGTAAATATCACGCTGAGTGACGTCACAAAACTGACCTATAACCCCCTGTAGGTGTTAATGTGACCGCGAACCTGAGTAACAAGTACCATTTTGCCTACCGGCTATCTCCACCTGGAAAACATACTGACATATATCTGGTTATGTATGTTGTCATCACAACCTTAGCAAGTTACACCTACAGTATATCTTTTTATGTAATCACAAATATTCTAAAATCTCTTAGTGCAGTTTATTATATGACCAGATTGCTTTTTCTTGCACAAGCATTTCAGACAGTGAATTACAACTTTGGAAGTGTATATAATGTATATCCAATATGTGCATTAAATATTAAAATTCAAATTTAAATTGTAGAAGATATAAGTTAAATTTTCAATAGAGTTCTAAAAAATTCCTCATACACTGTAAACTATACACTAACAATCAACTGATCATGATTGAGTCTAGCCCTCGACCCCAGCAAGCTAGGTATATAATGGCCAAATATCTAGTCTCAAATTTACCCCATATGGATCTAAGTAATTTAAATGAAAATTTACAGTAAGATGCTGGACAACCATAATGACAATGGCAGGTTCATGAAAGACAGATGACGATAAGTATGCCATACATATACCATTACAGAAGCTCTCACATATACAGCCCATGCTATTGTATACCAGGAATTTTTTTTCGTAGTCAATCTTTTGCTTTTTTTTGTTTGCTAGCAGATATTAGAAGTCAGCATAACATTTCCAGTCATAACATGGTGAAAGTGAAATTGAACACTGGGCTAATATGGACTTAACTATACTGGTGAGGACGAACGTTTCTACTTACATGCTTATCAAAAGGCATCCAGGCACCAAATGAATGTGACATTGGATTGTTTATTTTAAAGTTAGCAATTATGACCAGCCTTTCATTACAATCCATAAACCTAATTAAGTATAGGCTTATATGATGATCAGGCTGTTCTGGAAAGTGTTACATTTATATAAGAAGTAGGTTTTCCCGACTGGGTAAAATGCAGATGTCATTGACAATACATTACATCCATTGGCCAGCAGCCACAATGGTGATAAAGATTTTTACATACATCACTTCACTGTGCATGACAGAAACAGCTAAAAATAGCTGGATTAACATATAGAAATCTCCACCCATGTCAATTTCAATACCTTATACCTATATCAAGGTTACAGTGTCGTTTATCATAGCTATCTCCTGCTGATGAATACATGACTTTGCTTACACAACATCCGTATTTACTGGATTCTATATCATTTTCAGCACATTTAAGGCTTTAATTGTCTTCCTGATATCATATTCTACCCAAATAACCTGGTGACACATTTACTTCTGTAATTATATAATTTCTGAGTAAGTAGGCTTCAGGATCAAAACAAACTCTACAAAATCATCCAGGCATGTTATGAAATTCATCTCTTAAACATTGATCTCAGCTTCCATAATAACAATTCTTTATATTTTGTATATTTTATTACTCAACAAGCTTAAATGGTTTAAATTTAAATTCCTTAACAAACTGGAAGGAAAATTATTTAAAACACCATTTAGTCAATGCATGGCTGCTGTTGTGATACACATGCAAGGGAAAATTACACGCAGCTGAAATCTTTGACCTTATTGACTTTCAAAACTGCATCATTTGTCAAAACATCACATGTAAATTAATTTTGTTACTTCAAGGAAAAAAAGATATCCATCAATTTCCACAAAAATTGCTGACTGATGCAAATCTTTGACATAAAGATTGTTAGCTCCTATAAACAGTTATTGATTGTATACCATCATAAATATGGGCCAGGAATAACTGTATAACTGTACGACACATTGCGGTGTATAAGTGTATAGTATTAAGTACATGGCTATATCTAATGTATTTGACTTGCCTCTGACATGTACATGCAGTATAAATCACATTTAGGTACATAATTCAAAGGTCAAACAGCACTTCAGTCGTTTCAGTTCTCAGTTAATAGGGTTCAAGCCATATTGTAAGTTCTCAAATACATGTAGGTTGTTGAACTCAAAGCATGAACAGCTTTATCAGAAATTTAAAAATCATATTCCCAATACAATAAAAAGCTGACCATGCTTGCTAAATCAACTATTAAAATAGCAGTAATTGGTATTTACAGTTAGTCAGCTCTTTATTATTCAGCATCAGTGCCTATATATAGGGGGTACCTCTATACAGACCTACACATCTCTACTGTCTAATACCAGTGTATAGGGGGGATACAGCTGCAGATAGACCTACACATCTCTACTGTCTAGTACCAGTGGATATAGGGGGTATACAGATAGACAAACCTACACATCTCTACTATATAGGGGGTACCTCTATACAGACCTACACATCTCTACTGTCTCAATACCAATGTATAGGGGGTATACAGATAGACAAACCTATACACATCTCTACTGTCTAATTCCAGTGTATATAGGGGGTATACAGACAGACAAACCTACACATCTCTACTGTCTTATACCAGTGTATAGGGGGTATACAGCTGCAGATAGACCTACACATCTCTACTGTCTAATACAAATGTATAGGGGGTATACAGATAGACAGTCCTACACATCTCTACTGTCTAGTACCATTGATAGGGATGTATGTAGACACAGACAATCTTACACATCTCCCAACATCAATCAAAATATACTTTAAAGAAGATCATACCAGCTCATGTAACATCTCTACTGTCTAATACCAATGTATAGGGGGTAGACAGATAGACAGACCTACACATCTCTACTGTATAGTACCAGTGTATATAGGGGGTATACAGACAGACAAACCTACACATCTCTACTGTCTTATACCAGTGTATAGGGGGTATACAGATAAACAGACCTACACATCTCTACTGTCTCAATACCAATGTATAGGGGGTATACAGATAGACAAACCTATACACATCTCTACTGTCTAATTCCAGTGTATAAAGGGGGTATACAGATAGACAGACCTCCACATCTCTACTGTCTAATACCAGTGTGTATAGGGGGTATACAGACAGACAGACATACACATCTCTACTGTCTAGTACCAGTATATAGGGGGTATACAGATAGACAAACCTACACATCTCTACTATATAGGGGGTACCTCTATACAGACCTACACATCTCTACTGTCTCAATACCAATGTATAGGGGGTATACAGATAGACAGACCTACACAGCTCTACTGTCTAGTACCAGTGTATAGAGGGTATACAGATAGACAGACCTACACACCTCTACTGTCTAGTATCAGTGTATATAGGGGGCATACAGATAGACAGACCTACACATCTCTGCTGTCTAGTACCAGTGTATAGGGGGTATACAGCTGCAGATAGACCTACACATCTCTGCTGTCTAATACCAATGTATAGGGGGTAGACAGATAGACAGACCTACACATCTCTCCTGTCTAATACCAGTGTATAGGGGGTATACAGCTGCAGACAGACCTACACATCTCTACTGTATAGTACCAGTGTATATAGGGGGTATACAGATAGACAAACCTATACACATCTCTACTGTCTAATTCCAGTGTATAAAGGGGGTATACAGATAGACAGACCTACGCATCTCTACTGTCTAGTACCAGTGTGTATAGGGGGAATACAGATAGACAAACCTACACATCTCTACTGTCTTATACCAGTGTATAGGGGGTATACAGATGGACAAACCTACACATCTCTACTGTCTAGAACCAGTGTGTATAGGGGGTATACAGACAGACAGACATACACATCTCTACTGTCTAGTACCAGTATATAGGGGGTATACAGATAGACAAACCTATACACATCTCTACTGTCTAATTCCAGTGTATAAAGGGGGTATACAGATAGACAGACCTACGCATCTCTACTGTCTAGTACCAGTGTGTATAGGGGGAATACAGATAGACAAACCTACACATCTCTACTGTCTACTACCAGTGTATAGGGGGTATACAGATAAACAGACCTACACATCTCTACTGTCTCAATACCAATGTATAGGGGGTATACAGATAGACAGACCTACG